AACAAAAAAAAAAAAAAAAAGTGATACAATAAGAAACTGAAACTGTAAATAAGGACTAAAAGGTATAATAATGTGAAATAGGAAGAAAAGGGGTGAAGGGAAAGTGGGAGGGGTTGGAGAAAAGAAAGAGGGGGAATGGAATTAATATGAGAAAATGAAAAAATGCAAACAAAGTCTTTGTAAACAGGGAGGGCAGGGGAATGCGGAAAAAAATAGGAACCACGATAAATTATGTAAAGGCACAAATTTCCAATGATGAATGTCATTATGTTTTATACCTAAAACGAAATGTACCAGTAAAATAAATATAAAAAGACATACACACATTATGGAGTACTACTCGTCCATAAAGAAGGATAAATGAGTCATGTATAGGAATATGGATGGATCCTAAGACCATAATGCTAAATAAATATGACATGGCCTCTCTTAATGTTTTTTCTTTTTTTGTGTGTGGTACTGGGGGCTGAACTCAGGACCTTGCACTTGGGAGGCAGGCGGTGGCACCACTGAGCTAAATCCCTGGCCCAGGCCTCTAATTTAAGAGACTCAAAATAAAAAATAAGGAGCCATGTTAAGAAACAGGGAGGCAGACTCTAAAGATAGGAAGGGGGTCTTGGGGAGAGAGCAGAGGGTAAAAGTATGATCAACAGAGCCAGGGATTTAGCTCAGTGGTGCCGCTGCCTTCCTCATAAGCACAAGGTCCCAAGTTAGATCCCCAGTACCAAAAAACAAAAAGACCAAGAGATAAGTATTATGTGTCAAACCCCTAAGATGAATATAAACTCCATGTATCACAAATGTGTACTAATTTAAAAAAAGAAAAAGCCCTATTCTAGGAAAAAAAAAAAAAAAGGAATATATAAAAAGAAGGGGTTAATCTACATTAAAAGACTTCAGGAATAAAACTAAAGCAAACAGCCCGGGATTATGCCCTGGTTTAAAAAAATTAGCTGTACAGGGTATTAAAAAAAAAAAAGAACAGAGGTTGGGATACACCTCAGTGGTAGAGTGCTTGCTTGGCACACGAGAAGTCCTGGGTTTGCTCTCCAGCAGCGCGCGCGCGCGCACACACACACACACACACAGAAACGGGAGAGGGAGACAGCTGATGTGAACTGACAGCAGAAAGTATTAAAGACACTGGTTTTGTTAGGTACAATAACGTCACTGTAGCTATTTAGGAAAATGGTGTGTTATAGAGTTGTTAAGTCACAAATCTGTAACTTTTACACAGAGAAATTTTTAAAAGAACTAAAATAAGAAAGAAAATAAAAGAAGGCTGGGGATTTAGCTCTGGTGCTACAGCCTGCCTCACAAGCACAAGGTCCCAAGTTCGATCACTGGTAGGTACCACCCCCCAAAATAGAAAAAAACTCAGATTCAAATTTAGATGCTCTAAAGTCCTTTTCATTATAGCACTCCTTTAAATTTCACTAGACAGCTATTAACTAAATCATATTGTAGAAGAAAATGTTCAGAGCTAAAAAAGCCAGCATATGTACTAGAATAAATGTAGTATGTTACTAGAATGGTTATTAACAGTTTAAACTTTTTAATTAAAAATAAAAATTCAGAAACCTATTAGAAAAATCATTCATAGTAGGTAATGGAAAAGGGACAGATGCATTTAAAAAAAATGACCCAATAAATATACATATAAAAATCCAACTAGTAATAAACCAATGAGATGGTATTTTTGCTTATTAGTTTTGTTTTGTTTTTGCAGTTCTAGGTATTGAACCAGAGCCTCCACACTGAACTACTTCCTAGCCTTTCATTTTGAAGTAGGGGCCTACTAAGTTGCCCAGGGTAGGCTTGAACCTGCAATCCTGATTTGGCCTCCCACATGGCTGGGACTACAGTCAGGTACCATGTACTCAATTAGAAGTTTAAAAACTATTAATACTCAATGCTGGCAAGGAATAAAAGACAAAATTCTTAACTATTAGGTATCTTAGTGCAGTCTTTCTAAAACCTTAAAAATGATTACACTTTGTACTTTCTGGATATAATTTAAAAGGTGATGAAGTATAAAAAAGATGTTTCATACTTTAAATTTCATTATGGAATTTCAATTTTGGAAAATAATTATTTTATTAAACTTCCAATAAAAGAAAAGAGTTGTAAAACTTGATTTATTAGTCTGAATACTAAGAACTATTAAGCATAACCTAATATATTAGATTTAAAACCAGTGAGAACTCAACTCTGAATATATAGCATGAGCTGAGCCATGAAAAAATAGAAATCATGCTAGTTACTTTTGTTAGTTTGTTTTTTTGGTGCTGGGGATCGAACTTGGGTCCTTCCGCTTGCAAGGCAGGCAGCAGAACCACTGAGCTAAATCCCTAGGTCCTACGCTAGTTACTTTTATAAAAGCATATAGAGGCTAGGGATTTAGCTCAGTGGTGCCACTGCCTCCTCGCGAGCTCAGGGTCCTGAGTTCGATCCCCAGTACCAAAAAAAAAAAGCATATACATTAAAAAAAATCATGACACTTACATGAGAATTAAAACATTCCAAAAAGCTGTTTAGCAGCCAAACTCAGCATTTTCATGTATAGCAGCCAGACATACAACACAAACCTGCGAATGTGCGCGTGTTTACACTTGTTTGCCTCCGCCACCGCGAAGTGCTACTGGCTGGCTGTTCTGGACAAATGCGCCTCCTCCACGAATCGCACTTGGATGAGTTGGAGAAGCTGCTGGATGCTGCCCAGGACGAATAGGTTTCGCTAATATGAAAAACAAAGTCTGAATTAGAAGAAAGCATAACAAGACACAACTGCAATGACTGTTTAGGTCTGTTTTTGTTTCTGAGGTGGAAGACAGGGTCTATGTAGTCCAGGCTGGCCTTGAATTCATGGTGACCCTCCGGTCTCAGCCTCCCGAGTGCTCAGAGCACAGGTATGCGCCCTCACGCCCAGCCTGAGTCTTTATTCTCTTCCTCTCTAGTCGTGCTGATCTCGTAACCATGGAGACAAAACATAAAAGTCAGATTCAGGCCAAGCAGGCTTAAGGGTTCCAGCCCCCTTACTAACCAATCTGTGCAGAATGCCCCCTTCTGGCCATGTTCTTTGACCGGACAGCTTCCTTTATGCGGTCCACTTCTTGCTGGTAGCGCTTGCGATCACGAGATGCATTTTCTTTGGCTTCTTTCAGTGCTGATTCCAAAGCTTTCACTCTCTCAGCCGTAGCTCTCAGTCGCTTTTCTAACTTAGGAAGCTCACAGCGAAGATCTGCATTGTCACGTACCAGCTGGAGGCACACAGAAAACA